ACACCATTATCCACTATAATTTGGTTCTAATTAAATACAAGCTTTCTTTGATTGATAGAATGGAATACTTTAATTTGAATATAACATTTTAATTTCATTATCTTTGTGTATAGGTACAATCAATAATTAACCCGGCCTGTACACTCAATCTATGTATGTATAACTACAGTATTCTATGTATGTATATATATAGTAAGTCTCATTAGCTTACTATATAGGAGTATGTACTATAGTGCATTAGCACTGGTGTTAGAAAGAATGCGCCCCACACCAAAAAAAAAAAAAGAAGGAGAAATGTGAACACAACAAGCACGTGTTCTTTCTCTGCCCCTCTTCCTCCTATAAGCACAAAGCATCATAGTACTGTTCAATAAAACCGTCAGTAAAATATACTACCATGCATCTACCCAATGGTAATTTGTTAATTAGGATATATGCTCTTAACTTTATATTTAACCATTTTAATATGCCATACAATTTCTGACAATTAAAATTAAATAATTGTTTCTGGAGATTACATCTCTTAGTTTTTACTATCTCCTTCGATCTAGAGGTTTTTACGATAATTTAGAACCATTGGATATTGCCTATCAAGGGTTAAAAATCTTTGGAGAAGCAAAATATTTCGGGGGAACCCATAAATCCGAATTACAGAGATTTTGGACCGGAATAATTTGAATTTTGAACAAATTTTGACCTAATTTGATTAATTTTCGCCAAATTCACAAAAACTTGAAATTTTCAGACAAATTAGTTTCGTGCCAGGGGATCAAAATTAAATGTTGGAAATTTCGTCAAACCCTAACCATCCATCTCTAGGAATTGTTATCGTGTGGGGAAATTTCTATGAAATTTCAAAATGAAATAACTTATATCGATCCTAGCTTCGGGAGAACTCATGTAAGCGTACAGCAAATGGTTAATTATGGCTATCATACAACCATCAAAGCGATTATGGATCAGAGATGATGACCCATATATTTTGTATTAGTGGCCTGATCGATCTGTATGTATACTTTTCATGAAAAATGTCCAGAGACCACACTAGACAACTGCTTGCGCTACAATTTTAAAATATGACGACGGTGTACCGCTCGAACGTTTTCAAGGTTAATTATCAGCCTTACCAAGCTGATTCACATTTATAAACCACTCGATAAACCAGTCTCAGCAAGTTTTTTTAAAAAAACAAAGAAACTAATATAAAAGTACAAAATTTAAACAAATTTGTGCATATTGTTTTTTTGTCTTTGTAACAGCAGTTAATTACAAAAGGAATAGCTGAATTAATCGGCAGGTGGTACCACACGGGAATTTGGAACAGAGACTGGGACAGGAGTTAGCTCGATCTCATAATGGTCAGGTGCTAATGCATTGATGACCCACGACCCTGCCGTGCTGTCGAGATGTGGGAGCTAGATGAGAGTAAGGCTAGGTTTAGTCCCGTTTAAACTTCCAAAAATTCCGTCACATCAAATGTTTGGACACATACATACAGTATTAAATATGGACGAAAAAAAACCAATTACACAGTTTGAATTTAAATTGCGAGACGAATCTTTTGAGCCTAATTACGTCATGATTTGACAATGTGGTGCTACAATAAATATTTGCTAATGACGGATTAATTAGACTTAATAAATTCGTCTCGCAGTTTACATGCGCAATCTGTAATTTGTTTTGTTATTAGTTTACGTTTAATACTTCAAATGTGCGTCCGTATACGTCAAAAAAAATTTGGATGAGGAACAAAACACGGTCTGTTAATAGTGGAGCTCACTAAAGTCTATCTTAAAATCAACATATATAATAAATTAACTCTACGGTTGGTTTTATTTTTTCTTCTCCTCTCTCTTTCTCTCATTTATATATACCTTTAGTGTATTTATTTTGAGTACATGTTATGCTAGCTCTGTGAGCTAACAACTTTTTTTTAACTCTCTTAGCACATAATTATAGTATACTTATAACTCACCATTATCTTTCCTCTGACAGTGAGATAGTAGTAGTAGGAGTAGTAAAGAGGATCAAGGACAAATGCTGGAGGGTCCAGCTAGCTAGCCGGCCGGTCCATGCATATTATCATATCTAGGGAGTACGCTCCCATGTCATCTTCACGCGAATCCTTTTGTTCATTAAAATTCCTCACTCTCTCTCTCTCTCTCACTCTCTCTCTCTCTCTCTCTCTCTCTCTCTCTCTCTCTCTCTCTCTCTGATCCTCGACCTTTTGCATTTTTGGCAGAAAGAAAAGTGGAGGCTGGACACCTCAGTTAACCAAACTAATCACTTTACTTCTGCCACAATGTCCGCGCTGTATATGTCGAGATGCAACGTACTTCTGAATATATACATATAGATCACTCCCTCTATCTTCTTTTATATGATTATGGTTATAGTTAAAAAATGAACTAACCAACGTTTAAAAAGAAACTAGAGAGAGTATGTAGGGATTCTATATATATGTTGAGGCAAATATGTCGCGCTGAGGGGCCACACAGCTTGTTTTAAATTCTATGTAGAGGAAAAAAAATAAAAACACCGCCCTCAGCCTCTCACTCATAACAGAAATGAGAGGTAAAGAATAAAACATAATGAATAGTAAATGAAAACCGGGAAACAAGTAAATACTATAGTCGGCATCTAGCTAGATGAAACTTACTATGCTAGCATTTTTTTTCTCACATAATATACATGAATTTGGACAATTTATGCCAATGCATGCATTTTAGAAGATTAAAACTAATTGTTCCTTTATAAATTAGAAGTGATGAGTTATATCTCTATTTCTTAAATACAATAATAATAAACAAACAATATTTAGAAAAATATGTAAAGTAATATTCTTTCACCTCAATATATAGGAGAGGGGGGTGTGGGGGGATAGTTGATTGCTCTATTTTAAGTAATTCAAATGAGGAACAGATTACCTAAATAACAATTCATGCTGTGTAGTCAAAGTTAAATTAACTTGATACAAGAGCTATATATGCATCCCAGGAATATAAGTTAAACATATGTATGAATTTTATTGTTATTGCATAACATAAGAAAATTAAAGGTGTTCTCTGTCGTACGTTATGTACGTATTCTCACATCCCACTCTCTCTCGTATATATATGATAAACGATATTTCTTCTGATGTTTTTCAACAACTCGCAGATGATTATTTGCCTCAAGATACGAGGATAATTCAGTGAAGTGTACATTTGCAATGGTCTATAATTAATCTTTTGAATTTGTTTATACAAGGCCAACAATATTTACTTTTGGTGCGTCGTTCCAGGAAAAGATATATCACATATAGAAATAATTGCAGTGATATTTGTAAACTCAATAAATTTTCTGTTTGAGCAACTTTATGTGAAGATGTCCATATGTGAAACATTGTACATTAATGGATAATTATTTAAATATTTGTAACGCACAAACGAGGGTATATGTATAGTCATATACTCCATCGATCCAGTCATAAAAATGGTGGCTTAAAGTCTGTGCAGTCAATCTAAGCTGAGAACTGACAAAGCCAAATTTGTTATAACCAAAGCTAATTTCATAATTGATATTGTTATATATAACTATTTTTTTGGATATATTTATGCAAAGGAATTAAGCGGTCAGCACTTGTGCCATCATATTAAGAAAAAGGGAGTATAGAAAGCATGCAAACTATCGGTCCCTAATCTGAAATATTTTAGTGCCTTCTTCCAAGATTATATGAAATTAAGAACAATGCTGGCAGTGTCCTGAAACTGACTTTCAAGTTTTACAGGGTGAAATTCATTGGACATTATCTCAACTTTAAAAAACTGGTTTCTTGACAAATATTTAATGAATATGTAACATATAGTATCTTGTAGCATGATAAAGTCGCACCGGTTGAAAGGTAATTCCAAATACTGTGATGCAATATACATATATATCAAGTTCCAACAGCTGTGTTGTTTTAATGTGGCGTGATGCCATACGACCTCCCACCTCACCCATACCCTATAACATCACTTTATCACATAGGTTAAATTAAAGCAAACAAAAGCAATATATCAAATTTAAACCGGTTTTAAGCTGAGGTTTCTCTATAAAACTTTCGCATATCATCTAACCCAGCCACATCATTCCACTATATAGCCAGGCAATACATCAAAAAAAATTCAAACACAAAGAAAAGAACTAAAAACTAAAAATATATATATATAAACTTTGTAGTATATAGCAAAGTCGCACATGTTAAATCGGATAACTCCAATTACCATGACACTATATATCAAATTTCAAAGTTGAAGCTTTTTGATGATATATACACAACCTCCAACCGCGCCACATCACTCTATCACAACCTAGCTAATAAGTCCAAAAAAAAATTAAAATCGAAAAAACAAAGAAAACACCAACTGAAAAAATATAGGTTGTAGTATATATATAACAAAGTGGCACATGTTAAATAGGATAACTCCAAATAACACAACAAAGGTAGAGCAAATTTAAACCATGCATTTTCTAAGACGACGTGATGCCATGCGGATTTCCACCTCACCCAACCCTGCCACGTCAATCTATCATAACCGGCGGGATAAATCCAAAAAAATTCAAAAAAAAGGCAAAAAAGAAAAGGAAAAGCAAAAGTAAAGAAATATACGCAACAGTGTAACAAAGTCGTACGTGTTGAATTGGAAAAATCCAAATACAATGATATATCAAATTTCAACCGTTTTCCCAAAGCTGACGCGATGCGGTACGACCTTCCACCTCACCCAACCTTGCCACGTCACTCCATCACAACCCGAGCGATACATCCAAATAATTCAAACAAAAGGCATGCAGAGAAGAAAAAAAAGAAAAGGTAAAAAAGCCTAATAAGCATAATTAGGCACCAAATTAAAGAAAACACGAAATTAAAGAAACATATAACCAGGAACAAACAAGGACGGGTACTTATGCTGCTCCCAAAACCGCAATTAAAATAAGTAAAGGAATGATTATAGGTCGCCTAGTCGATCGATCGATGGACAGACAGTGTGTAGTGGAGACGCTATTAACCCAACCCACACACAAAAGCCGCAAAGGACGATGCCACACACACTCCGTCCCAACAAGCTACTCTTCTTCTTCTTCTACCTCCTCACCCCTACCCATTCTCTCTCTCTCTCTCTCTCTAGCTAGCTAGAGCAGCAACCAACCATGGAGCCTTCCCCCGACGCGCCACGCGCCGGGGCAGCGGAAGAGCAGCCTGGTCCGTCCTCCTCGGCGTCGGCGCCGGCGCCCGCGGCGTCGTCGAACGAAGAAGAAGGGAGACATCAGTCGCAGGCGCAGCAGCAGGTGCAAGAAGCGCAGCCGCAGCCGCTGGCGCAGCAGGCGCCGGCGGCGGCGGGGCTGAGCAGGTACGAGTCGCAGAAGCGGCGGGACTGGAACACGTTCCTGCAGTACCTGCGGAACCACAAGCCGCCGCTGACGCTGCCGCGGTGCAGCGGCGCGCACGTCATCGAGTTCCTCAAGTACCTGGACCAGTTCGGGAAGACCAAGGTGCACGCCGACGGGTGCGCCTACTTCGGCGAGCCCAACCCGCCGGCGCCGTGCGCCTGCCCGCTCCGCCAGGCGTGGGGCAGCCTCGACGCGCTCATCGGCCGCCTCCGCGCCGCCTACGAGGAGTCCGGCGGCCGCCCGGAGTCCAACCCCTTCGCCGCCCGCGCCGTCCGCATCTACCTCCGCGAGGTCCGCGAGGCGCAGGCCAAGGCGCGTGGGATCCCCTACGAGAAGAAGCGCAAGCGTGGCGCCGCCGCCGCCGCCGCCGCCCCTCCCGTCGTCGTCGCGCCGCCCCCCGTCGTCACCGCGCCCGACGACGCCACCGGGACGTCGGGAGGCGCCGGCGAGGACGACGACGACGACGAGGCCACCCACTCCGGCGAGCAGCAGGACACCACGCCGGCGGCCTCTCCTACTACTCCTCCGGCAACAAGTGTCGGTACTACCACCGCGGCGGCGACTGCGGCGGCGGCGAAGGGAAGTGCGGCGAAAGGATCGGCGACGAGTTCGTGATAAGTGTAGAGAAATCATTTGCCTCCCTTTCAATCCCCTCATCACCCTCCAAATTCTAATCCCCTGCAGCATCATCATCATCATCTTAATTTTTAGTGGTTGATTAATTATTATGATTATTACTGTTATTATTTGTTGGTATGAGAGTGGAGAGGCCTAATTAAGGGGGTTTGTAGGATAATGTTAGGATCGAGTACATAAAAGGCTGCTAAATTAACATGCAGAAAATTTCAATTTGAAGAAATAAGAGGAAGACAACTTTCTCTTCGCCGTCATCGACAGATCGATCTCCAATTATATTCTTTCTGTTCATATATATATTTGAGGTGATCAATCTTTATTAACTTAATTGTTGTCTGTTTGTTTGTTGATCTGGGTGCAATATATAAGGGTGCATTCATAATTTGAGATGATTTGTTTGCTAATCCTAGTCCTATAGATGGGGCCTGCCTAGCAAAATGATCACGGTTTTCTTAGTGCCTGATCCTGCCATTATTATATTCGCTTAGTTCTCCCTCCATAATTTGCTTGGCCCCATATGATCATCACCACTTCAATTTCAAATTACACTATATATCTCTTGAAAGAAAGAGGGACATAAGTATTTCTCAACAGTGGTTGTTGAGGATTCAGTTTTATATATGGGAGAGAATGACATTTTTCTAAAGCATTTGTTGTGATGTCCCTACAAAAGGGAAAAAACAAAACTTCTTTGCTTTGACTTCATTGATAATGAGCAGTACTGTTTACGCTTGTTTAAGTGATTTAATACTTTTGGTATGATGTACTGTTGCGGTGTACATATATATGAACAGAAAGAGATGCAAACATATACACGAAAGTTGCACATCACATGTCATTATCAGAACAATATAAATGAACTAAATGTGTATAAAAAAGCTTTTTGAATCGATATAATTGCTTCCGTTGTCGTCTTACTCCTTTTCCAGGTGCAATGCCGTCCCTCTCGTCTTTTTATTTCGGTTTCATCTATTTTTTTTGTTTTTTTTTATGATCTCATTGTCTTCTTTTTCATTATGCTAGCTAGTAAGACCGGTCTTGTTGCTTCATCAATTTTAATTTGTACAAATAGTTGAAGCATTTATTACAAATGATTCTCCAAACACCGACCGTATATATATTTCTAGTAAAGTAGTGCTTACGTGTGAAGATATGGAAAACTAGAAACTGTGTTGTGACGGTTTGACATGCATATCTGAAGATCAAGAAAATAAGTATTAATACAAAGTTTAAATAAGATATAATTAAATTTTGATATGTATGTACATAAGATATATATGTCTTTTCCTGAACGACGAATGTTTAACTATTTTCTTAAGAAATACTCCATGTAGTATATGTGCTTGAGATATTTCTGAATTAACCGTGGAATTGTTGCGCTTCTTTCCAAAATCAACATATGCACTTAAGATGATTTACATAGGCCCTGTTTGGATCCGGAGGGCTATTAAATAGCCCTCCGAAATCAGTGATGCTACAGTAATCAGTCGCTAATCATGGATTAATATACATCATTAGATTCGTCTCGCAAAATAGCCTAGGGGTTATGAAATCGGTTTTGTCGGTAATCTACGTTTAATACTCCTAAATAGCAAGATTCTAGAGGGCTATTTAATAGCTCGGAGGATCCAAACAAGGCCATAGGTGACTTAAAAGAAGCTTTCCTGAACTTTTTCTGTAAATCATATTTGACTGATGAATATAAATACTCTAGATTTTGTAGCTCTGACTGTGTTTCACACTCCGCCACTACTTGATTACTTCAGATTTTTCTATTGTTCACTATGATTTGTAGGGTACGCGCAATGAGTAGAAACGTCGACTGATCTTGGGATGTCATTACTAATTATTTGTTTGTCAGTAATGCATACATATATCGTATCAGAGACGTATATATACTGTATGGTCTAATTAAACAGAACACTTTTAGGTTATGTACTGTATGTAGCTATACTACATACAGTATATACTACACTTTGTATATAGTATATTTTTATTCCATGTTCCGCTAGCTAGTCATGCATATATTACTCCCTCCGTTCCAAAATAAGTGCAGTCTTACACTGTTCATGTTCAACGTTTCACCGTTCGTCTTATTTAAAAAAATTCATCATTAATATTTTTTATTATTAGATGATAAAACATGAAAAATATTTTATTGACTATTTTTTTTAATTTGTTCATATTTTTTTTAAATAAGACGGATAGTCGAACGTTGGACATGGATATCCACGGTTGCACTTACTTTAGAACGGAGGTGTTAATTGCTGCATGCATGCAATCACCCACCAGCACGTATACAGACCGACAATGAGCAGTAGCAACAGTCAAAATCTCCAGTGTGCGTCTGTGCCTGTACAAAATTCAAAACATTTTGCACTGTAGCTACATATCATTATTACGAACAGTAAACATTCACTTGAGAAAGAATGTATCGATCGAGAGAGGAGGAGAGATCGATCTCTTGGCCGACAGGCAGTCAGAAGCAAATCTAGTACTCCCACAGCACATGGAATGGTTTGAAAATCGAAAATCCTCCTTGTACAAGGTCAGATGAACAGTATGATTCTCTCCTTTTTTTTCTCTCTCTCTCTTTCTCTCAAAAGACACCAAACACAAGCACAATTATTTCTTTGTTGGGAGCGTAGTTGTCCGTACGAGTGCTTAATAGTACTGTAGTATTCATCCTGTCTGTCATCATCCTGTTCAAGAGAGAGGGGAATATATAGGGAATGAGAGAGAGAGGGGTAGTATACTTGGGGAAACTATTTTGATTCCTCAAATATACATCCCTTATTTGTTTAAAAACTATTAAAATATTTATAAAAAAGTTTTAAAATATATGACAACATTTATGCAATATTTATCTCTCAATGTATGACATAAAAAAAGATAATCCAGCATATGAATCTAAATTTATCTCTCTTTTCTAAATATATCTATTGAATTTAAACTTTATGTTTTTGTCAAGTGATTGATGTCAATATACTCTATATTATTATAAACTTTTTCTTTTTTTAATTATTATATTAGATTTTAGAAAATGGTACATGAGGGTACATCCTCGAGAGATCAGAATATGTTTCATGTACTCACCTACGGGCCAACTCAATGGCGTAAGCCGATTGTACGACCGTCTAGGACCCAGGCTGGTCAGGGGCCCATCACCAACCAATCCAGTCAGCAGGACGTCATCGTGTGTCCTTACGTTTGACTCCCACACGACTACATTTTATCTCATTGTGACTAGGGTTTAGGGTAAGGTCTTGTGATTTTCTTAATTTTCATCTATTTAGTCCGAAAAATAGGTAGGATTTTGTTTTCTTCTTCTTGTTAATTTACTTCACAAGTTTAATTAGGTGTATATCATGTTAGTAATGTTTGCTCGTGCCACCTTAAACGATACTCCCTCCTTCCACAAAGTTGCATCTATTACTTTTGTTACCAAAACCAAGGAAAATGAACTTAGCATGCATGTAAAAAAATCAATAAGTGTATGCACACATGTAACCAATGAGTATTAATTAAGATGACTCATCGGGTTTTGATTTTTAATTTACCTCTCAATTTAAGTTTTAAATGTATAGAGACTATAAATAAAAAACAACTTATTTGGAAAACCTTAAATATGAAATATGTCTAACTCTAATGAATGGATAAAGTACATAGTTTATAAAATATATATTGCAAGTAAAAATATACTCCATCCATCCTAAAATATAGCAACCTTGTATTGGATGGGACATATCATAGTACAACGAATCTGGACAGGGCCGTGTCCCATCCAGTATAAGATTGCTATATTTTGGTACGGAGGAAGTATTAGTCTATGGATCTATATTACCGAATTCGTGAAGTGCCCTCTCTCTACTTAGTATTAGGGGAGAGAGAGTCTTCTTTGATGGTTTTCTCTCGCTTGGTGTTACTAGGGTTGTGTTTAGCTCACACTAAAATTGAAAATTTGGTTGAAATTGAAACGATGTGATGTAAAAGTTGGAAGTCTATGTGTGTAGGAAAATTTTGATATGATGGAAAAGTTGGAAGTTTGAAGAATTATTTTGGAAGTAAACACGGTTTAGATGGAGCTGCTACTAGTACGTCGTCGTCGTGTCATTGGGTGTTTGTGCTGCGGGCTGGGCTGGCTGCCTTTGTCGGCCCCGCTTTGCTGGTTGCGCGTCGTCTTTTATTTGATATTGACAGCATGCATGCACCAACGACAGGTTTACTCACTGCTGCCTTTCTCTCTCTCTCTCGCTTGGCCTGTGTGATCAATCTGGACTGGAGGTCTGGCCCTCACTTTTGAACCCACACCAACACCAGACGTCACGGCGGCCGGCGGCGACGACGGAGTGGCAGGCAGTCTGGCCGGCGGAATTGCTGTCGAATCCTCTGCTTTCGTGCTGCAGGCAGGCATGCATGCAGCTGCAGTTTGCGCGGCCGGTTAATTTACTATATGTGTACCGTATGGATTATTTTAAGGTTCAGATGCTTTGCTAAACTAATTAACCCATCTTGGCATTGATTCGATCGTGGAAATATAAAAGAATGGAATGTTAAACGATGGTGAAACTCACACACGCAAATATATATACTCCATATATAAGAGCTGGAGTAGAAATTAAGGAACTATTTATATATATCTCAATTTGTATACATCTCACTCGACACATTCTCACACACGCTTATATGAGTGGAGCCATAGAAAAACTGCATTACAAATGTACTAATCTTTATTAGTTAAAATTTATATAAAAAAAATATGGTTAACCCCTATGCTTTTAAGACATTTATGCATGGATTCGCCCCCTGTCTCTCCCTCCATCACACAAATCGCGGCTCCTCTTACCTGCGCTAGTGAGGTTTGTCGTACCATGCTGCTCCCCTCATTGCCACTCCCACCTTATGACCTAAACTTATCTCTTCTACTCTATCTTCTATGGCTCAAGTGTCACGGTGCCACTGTCTTGCACTGTCTTTGTATTTTCGGTGATTCTCGCATCCACCTCTCCATGTCCTAACCACTCCACCGACAAGCATTTATTGTCGCCAACACTGACCCACAAACCTCCTCTCCCACAGCGCAGGCGGCACCACTGCCGCCAAATCAAACACCACCTCCTAACCACTACAACAAGCTTCTACCACCAACAACACCAGCCCACCGCCCACCTCTCCCACAGTAAAGGAAGTGTCACGTCCGCCTCGCCACACCTACTTGCCCATCGCCGAACCATCGGCGCACCGATCATTCCTCTAACAAAGTACAAATCACAAAGCAAATCGCAACATAAGAAACTCATATGATTTAAATGATGTCTCCGAAATTGTGTCAAGTG